GAAAAATAATTCATTTAAATGAGATAAGTTAAAAAAATTTGATATGTAAAGTCCAAAGACCAATCATTAATTAGCACATTATTAATGGGTTTGATTGATAATTAACATTCTGTCAGTTACGTTGAAATAATTTAGAGTGGCATTGTGAATCGTTCCATAAACCTTGTCCTATTCAGAGGATCAGTTTTGATCAGAATGATGTGCTATAGACTCTTTTCCTTTATTCATATTAAGGCTAATAATTCAACTGGCACCCGACAAATCATAAAAAATAAGATCAATGAACCTCCAAGAATGGATTGATCTTGACTGATCAGCAGCACCAGAATCAGCAGCAACAGCAGCAGCACCAGCAGCAGCAGCACCACCACCACCACCAGCATCAGCAGCAGCAGCACTCACCGATAATGAGTCGTGCCAATATTCATCTGAGGACCACGACGAAGGGTCCAATGGAAGAGCCATTGAAGAGAACTACTCCTCACCTTCCGTGCGGCTGGCCATGAATCGAGCCGAGCTTCGCTATTTCGTCCTGATTACAACTCGCAAGATTGCAGGCCCGGCGCTCCAATGCTCTGACTTTTGCAGCGAGGCCGGAGTGCGGAAGACGCTCGGACGGTACATGAAATCTGTCCATCGTGAAAATTGCAGGTGGTGGGCAGGTGGTGGGCAGGTGGTGGGCAGGTGGTGGGCAGGTGGTGGGCAGGTGGTGGGCAGGTGGTGGAGCAGGTGGTGGGCAAGTGGTGAGCTGGCGATGTTCAAAGGGGTTGCCTATACGTCCGTCGTGAAAATAGCAGGCGGTGGGAAGGTTAGGTACCTTGCTTGTATTACCGTCACTCCGTCCCAACTGAAATTTGGTAGATCAGATTATTCGTCGGAAGTTTCATTTGCTGCTCTTAAGAACATTCGATTGAAAATTTTCCTGATAAATTTATTTGTCGCAAACGACTGAAAAATCAGAGCTGGAGCAGAGATCTCATGAAGCTGAAGCAGGGACCTCGTGAAGCTGAAGCAGGGACCTCGTGCAGCTGAAGCAGGGACCTCGTGAAGCTGAAGCAGGGACCTCGNGTCCACTCATGCATCCATCAGAGTTTACTAAATGAATACAGCGGCGTCCACTCATGCATCCATTAGAGTTTACTAAATGAATACAGCGGCGTCCACTCATGCATCCATTAGAGTTTACTAAATGAATACAGCGGCGTCCACTCATGCATCCATCAGAGTTTACTAAATGAATACAGCGGCGTCCACTCATGCATCCATCAGAGTTTACTAAATGAATACAGCGGCGTCCACTCATGCATCCATTAGAGTTTACTAAATGAATACAGCGGCGTCCACTCATGCATCCATTAGAGTTTACTAAATGAATACAGCGGCGTCCACTCACTGCATCCATCAGAGTTTACTAAATGAATACAGCGGCGTCCACTCACTGCATCCATCAGAGTTTACTGAATGAATACAGCGGCGTCCACTCAAATTCATCCAGGGTTTTAACTGTGTGGCTGAGTCCGCATGAGTCTCTGTGGCTGTTTATCAGTATAATTTTGTGGCAATGTGGCTAGGTGGTGGGATTGTGTGTGTGTTGTTTGTAAGTCTGATCATGCTACGTACATTGTGGTTGCGCTTCCACGAAGTGGCGCTAACATGTGGCTGAGTACGTCTGTGTGGCTGTGTAGCTGTGTGGCTTATGTCAAGTTTAGGACGTCTTGATCTATGGTCACGCTGATGCGCCGCCTTCGTCGTCCACCGATCCCAATTAAGCTGGTGCCGGTCGATGTATTTGTTAGCCTGTGCTTTTCTGTGTGTTTGTGTGGCTGTTTTCCTCTGTGTGTCTGTGTGGTTGTGCGTCTCTGTGTGGCTGTGTTGCCAGCAACGCCAGGGCGCAGCGTCAGTCGCAGCCGCTACGGGAAATTAAAACTAAACAAAGTGGAAACTGAAGAGAACAGGGCTGCAGCTGACACCCCCACCCCCCTGCAGCTGACACCCCCACACCCCCAAAGAATGAAATGAAAACTTCCCCCTAACCCCCTTCTTGGGGTCTCCCTTCCCTATATACTTTATCGACAGTTCCTTGCTTCCTTTATCTAATCTTTCATTACCTACTTCTATCTCTTCTTACTTTATATTTTCATTGCCCCTTGTATAATCATCAACCATACTCCTCTCTCTATACCTTCTCATCATAATCCATAAGTAACATTATATCAGCATCTATAATAATCATTCCTCACTAAAGCCTTCATCGAGATGTAAAAACAAAAACTAAAGATAATTTACATTATTTGATAGACAGTAGCTACCGGACAGCATGCATTTCCTGTTCCGATGCTCGCTCAGAGAAAAGAGTTGAATTTTGTCCAGAAATCTATTGAATTTTTGCCAATGAGTGGGTCATCTTGACCCTGATTGTGTCTTTAAGAAGACGTATCAATGCTAGGTCCAGTCTTTGCTCATGCAGTCGTGGTGAAAGTGCGTCACTACTTGAACAATATGTCCTGGTCATTTATGCTAGTGCAGGCAGGCTGAGCAGAGGCAAGCTTTGCGTAATTGATTTCGCCACAAAGAGGCTATAGGGCCACAGCTGCCACAGCTGCCACAGCTGTGTGGCAAGCGCCGCGATATCGGCATCACAGTTTCAGCACTTCAACAGCCTCTTGCAGCACGCCACATACTCTACGCCACACGCCACACGCCACACGCTGCGTGGGACTCAGCAAAGGGTAGGAGTAGGAAGCAGGCGGCAGTGGCAGGTGGCAAGTGCAGATGACAAATGGCAGATTGGCAAGACGCATGTGCAGACGGCAGGAAGTAAGTGGTAGGCACAGGCGACAAGTGCACGAAGTCAGCGCAGGCGGCAGGAGCAGAAGGTCTGCAGCAGGCGACCGGCGCAGGAAGCCGGCGACAGGCGCAGGAGGCCTGCAGCAGGCGACAGGCGCAGGAAGCAGGCGGCAGGCGCAGGGAGCAGATGTGTATAAGAGACAGAGATGGGGCAGGAGGAAGATCTAGGGGATTAGGGGGAGCTGGGGTGTTGGGAGAGGAGGGGGAGTTTGGTGGGTGCTGTGACTGAGGGAGGAGAGGTAAGGTGGGGAAATTTGAGGAGGAGTTNCACAGACACCACATAACACAAAGCAACCCACAGCACATAGAGCAGTACACAGCAATAAACGCAGCTACAGCAGCACGCAAAATAATCAGAAATACACAGCATTGCACACAGCAGTGCACACAGCAGTATACACATAGCATGGTATAAAGAAACACAGCAGTACACACAGCAGTAAACACAGCTGGGTATAAAGTAACACAGCAGTACACACAGCAGTACATATAGCAGAGTATAAAGTAACACAGCAGTACACAGAGCAGTGTATAAAGTAACACAGCAGTACACACAGCAGAGCATAGAGTAACACAGCAGTACACATAGCAGAGTATAGGGTAACACAGCAGTACACACATCAGTGCACACAGCAGTACACAGGACAGTGTATATAAAGTAACACAGCCTGGTTGCTCGGCGCAGCGCCGCCAGTTGTTTTATTTTATGTGCGTCCAAATGACCGTCTAGGATCTCCATACAATCAACAGAATCACCATAAAGACCACCGCAGTCGGCGATAAAGGCTCCTAATGCGCTATAAAATACCCCAAAAACCCCCCTCACATGCACAAAATTATAAATGGACGCTCGTGTTTGCTGTGAAATTCTACCCACAAACTGTCTTCAAATTCGTAAACAAAACCCTGGGGTATAAAGCTGCACTATATAACGAAGTATAATGGGTTTTTATTCATGTTTTTGAATGTATATTTCATTAAAAAAAACAGGAAAACCATGAGCATTGGGTTTAATTTACCGTTATATTACTAAATCACGACGACATTGTTATTATGAGATTGAAAGGAGATTTTCGAGGATGTGATTGAACTCGATGTGAATTTAAGAGTCTCTTCAATTAATTTCAACTTCACACCGAGATCTTTATTCGTACAATTGACTACTTTGAAATGCGTGAGCTTCTGTTTGTAGCGTGGATAGCAGTAACTGAAAGTAACTTTCGTTACAATGCATTTAGGTACGAATAGCATTGACGTCGGTCAATTTATCCGTGTATAAAGGGTTAAATGATAGTCATGTAAAAAATTATGTTTTAATTTACATATAGCGCCACTGTTTGCCCAGTGGTAGTAGTCGTGCCCAGTAATGAAAGTAGTTAGTCGTGGGTACGAGCCTTGGGAAGCTGAGTTCATTTCTCAATTTCGCTGGTGCGCGGCATTTTGTAGCCGTCAAAAGTGGTGCTTCCAGCATGACCTTTGGTTGGTATTCATAAACGAACTCTGGGTGCATGTTTCGAGGGTGGATTTCAAGGATTAAATGTTGCAAAAATAGCGCCGAATTGATGCTTTCGAGGTCTTAGTTACGTAAGAGAATTCTTTACAATATGGCATGAGAAGAGCGCCAAAACAATAATTATTCAGGTAAGTAAAAACAAAATGCTTAAATGACAGCCAGAATCAAGTATAATAATATAATAGGACAATGAAACTACGATGATATCTTTATATAATAAACAGTATATATCAACAAGCATGCCGTACCGTAGGAAATTCGCGCGCCATTTTAAGCTACCAAGCATTTGACGTTGAAATAATATTGATTAGGCACAGTTTCTGCGCCAGTTTCCGGGAGGTTTAAGATTAAATGCCACGCTTCGAAGCTTCGTTGTCGTTTTTCATCACATTTTCTTCTAAAAAGATGAGTGACCTGACAGCGACGAATCCAAATTCAGGCAGATTTTTTATCACAGTTTTTTGTTGAATCGTATTGCAATGCAGCCACAACAGGGCTGCGGTAGCACGGCTGCTGCTCGGCGCCCGGCAACATAACGAAGGCAATAACAGTGAAGAGTAATTAGCGAGTCCTCTGCGACCACAGAGCCGCGCAGTGACCTGCTCCAGTGCTGCCATGATCTTATGTCTTGATGTCAAGTTTAGGACTTCCTGGTCCACGGACACGCTGATACACCGCCTTCGTCGTCCGCCATCCTTATGCGGTCCTTCATCATGCTGATCCAGTGACGTGTAGGTCCGTTGGACTGAATTTTCCCTACGTTGCCGCAATCTGCCCAACGTTGTCGCAATCTGTCAAAACGTAACCGCAATCTGCCAAAACGTAGCCGCAATCTGCCCCAGTACGTTGCCGCAATCTGCCCAACGTTGTCGCAATCTGTCAAAACTTAACCGCAATCTGCCAAAACGTAGCCGCAATCTGCCCCAGTACGTTGCCGCAATCTGCCCAACGTTGTCGCAATCTGTCAAAACGTAACCGCAATCTGCCAAAACGTAGCCGCAATCTGCCCCAACGTTATCGCAATCTGCCATAACGTAGCCTAAATCTGCCCCAGCGTTGCAGCATTCTGCCGCATCTTTACGTCTGCACTCTCGCTGCTAAATTGACAGCAAGAACTTGCAGTCCGGACCCTACGTTGCCGCAATCTGCCCAACGTTGTCGCAATCTGTCAAAACGTAACCGCAATCTGCCCCAGCGTTATCGCAATCTGCCAAAATGTAGCCTAAATCTGGCCCAACGTTGCAGTATTCTGCCGCATATTTACGTCTGCACTTTCGCTGCTAAATTGACAGCAAGAACTTGCAGTCCGGTCAACCTATCCCAGCAATGCCGTATAGTATCATGAGTTTTCTAAGTCGCTGGAATTTAGCAGGAAACATTTTTAAATTTGTTTCCTGTTCTCCAATTTTTTTTTAATTGGATGTACAACTAACATAGCGAGCAGCGTAAACGAGAATCACGGTTTTCATATTCAGTTAAAATTCAACCTTTTTCCTCTTTCCGTTTGACCGTCGGTTTATTATAGGGCGAGGCCATCGCGTGAGGCCAGCTCGTGAGGCCAGCAGAGGCCGGAGGCACCGCCAAAGCAAAGCAGCCAAGATTGCCGGCATTCAGCCTCAATCGAAGCAAATTGGCGTTCAGATTGCGCTCCAGAATTTATGACTGTCATTCTCATGCAGAAAAGTTTGGAAGTTTGAATTTTGGAGCCGTAATGGGACGGCGGGCGAGCGGCTCAGGCGACGTCGCGACGGTGGACTTGACTTCACTCAGAAAGATATATGGGACATATTGCTTAAATAATGACACATTTTCTTAACAAATGAATGAGCAGAATGCGGACGTAACACTGGTGAACCCTGTTCCCAAACAAAATTGGGTCAGGATGACTCACACACCCACACAAGGATGAAAAGTACACAGCAATTCGGTCAAAGTCTTACACATTTCTATGAGTGCAGCGTCTCAATGACTTCACCGCCATCTTTTCAATCCTCGTCATTTGAAAAAAATTCTATAGTAAACGAAAATAATATCAATTGAAGGTTTACGATTGAAATTTGGCCGTGCATTTTGAATGCTTTGGATGAACATGTGCTAGACAGCTAGAATATGCATGCACGTCGAGATTTCGACAGCCGGGATCAGTAGAACTTGAATTTATTTATTCTCTTGTTATTTCGGTGACTTTATTGTGTAGAGGAAATAGATTTATTGCTGATTTTTAAATTGCAACGTATTAGGTTTAGGATTTCGGTTTTTAATTTTCAGTTTTCAATCACCTTAGCCGCGACCTGCAGTAGTATTTCGTTTTGTCGATCATTGTGTCCAGTGTTCTTGCCGTGGAGGTACGTTAATCGATAGCCCTGTGATTATATTTGTGAAATTGCGATTGTTAAATTTTAGAAGTGAATAGTTTCGTGTTATTGATTCTTTGTGCGTGGTAATTTGTTTATTATGTTTATTATATTTTCATTCTCTAGTTAGTAAATTCAAGCGTTATTTTGGTTCTATTTCAGGAGGGCCTCGATATTTGAACTTTGAAGTGAATTGAAAGTGATGGCAACGCACGGTTAAAGTTAAAGTGAGGTTAGGATTAGGGTGTTAGGTTCGTTGTGTTTGTTTCTATTTATTCATCATTAATTATATTTACTTTCAACTGTTAATTTATTGAAAATCCTTGGTCCAGAGAAGACGATTGAAAAACGATCACGTGCTGTGTGTCGAGGAACGCTTGTTCGTAGAGTGATTTGAAGCTCCCCAACAATTGACAATCTATACCCCAGCCCCAGGCAAACAACGTTAAAAACGCATAATCGACGTAAACTCAACGTATTATCAGCGTTATTCAACTTCAGATGCTTGATAGGCCTAATTTAAAGGAATGGCAGGTTTTTGATATGTTTTTGAGGTTTGGAGTAAATTTGACTTGTGGTGTTAGTAGTAGTAAGTTTGAGTTTCGGTGGTTTACCTCAATTGAAGTTTAAGGTTTGTTGTTAGAAATACAAGGTGCTTAGTCTCGCTTGCATATTTAATATCTAGCGCATCGGACATCACCAGTATCAGAAATTCACATTTATCGTTGGGTATAACTGTCAATAACAGTAATAATTTCTTGCTTTTAATAATAAAATAATTATACTATATCATCATTTTAACAATGAAATGACGCAGTGATTCCTTTTAACGATTAATAACGAGGGATTTCCGCAGCATGCATTGCACGATGTCTCGTACTCAATTAGTTCGGTGAGTGGAGCACAATAGCCTTCATAGACTTGGAACTGCACTATCTAAGCTCGCCTATGTACACTGTACACGTAGCGGCCTAGGTACACGTAGCAGACTAAGTACACGTAGCGTACTAGGTGCACCTCTCGGCCTATGTACACGTAGCGGACTAAGTACACGTAGCGGACTACGTACACGTATAGCGGCCTAGGTACACGTAGCGGACTATAAGTTCACGTATAGCGGCCTGAGTACACGAAACACGCAGGTGCACGTCACCGCCTAAGTGCACGTAGCGGCCTAAGTACACGTAGCGGCCTAAGTACACGTAGCGGCCTAAGTACACGGTGAGGGAGATTTCTCGTCTGTGATTGGTGGGTTTAGCTTGAAAAGTCCTCGGTGATTGGCTGCCGCAGTTAAGAACTCGTAACTTTGCAGCTAAATTTGATAGTACGGCCCAGACACGTTGAAGAAAGTATACGGCAATTAGACGTAAACTTTCTGTTGACAAAATGTGCGAGGATGTTTTGGATGTTTTGTGTTAGATGAAACATTGAGTGTTAGAGGGTATGTAAGTTTGTTCTGGCATGAAGGCACCTCTCTGCCACCAGCCCTTTCTGCCACCAGCCCAGACACGTTGAAGAAAGTATACGGCAATTAGACGTAAACTTTCTGTTGACAAAATGTGCGAGGATGTTTTGGATGTTTTGTGTTAAATGAAAAATGCAGTAGTGATAAACCGTACAGTCATTGCATGGCGGATAAGACCATGCAAACATTACTAAAGAAGTTCTTTACTGTGGCATAAATTTATTGGATGACTTTCGTATTCAATTTTTTTATCACTGCAGAATTTACGCGTAGAAGGGTGTTGAATGCTTCAACGATTGAATTTTTATTCAACATTCCGCAAACGATTTCCGAAAACAAATTAACCTATAAATGAACAAACGTAAACTATACATAAAAATAGAATTTTGATTCAATCGTTTATAACTCATCAATATTTCAACAGAAATATTCAAAAATGAAGTAGTAAATATCGAAGATAAATAAATAGCCCCTTACCAAAGAGTGTGGGCACCGTGCCTGGCGCACCAGTCGCAAGCAATGACAAGCGACACAAATTCAGATGCAAGTAGACCGACCCAGCCTACTCATGCATAGGAAATTTTTAATTAGTTGGTACTAAACATGATAATTCAAATTATCATCACCAACCCATCCACCAAGTCCTCCCACCAATCCACCACCTCCAACCAACTCCTGCCACCCACAATCACCCACAATCACCCACCCACCCACAACACGTCAGCCAAGACGCCGCTGTTGGCCGACAGTCTGCAGCGCTTATTGCAAACTTGTTGCAAGTCTAATTGCGTCTCAAAACTTAGACGCGGCGTCAGTGTGTCGCCCACCCATGCTCTCAGGTGGGCTACCAGCCCACAATACCAGTTTTGGTGTGCAGCCAGGAGTGTGTGGATATTATTGGATGTTCTAATAATCAACAAAGTTCTCTTCACTCAATAATAAAATGCTGGAGCTGCAGCAGCAATAAGCCAGCAGGACGACGCGCAGGCTGCCGCTGATGAGGCAATCCGCGTGAAATGCGGGGCCGGCTCAGCGCAATCCTGCGAGATTGCCGGCCTTAAGGTGGCCTGTCCAGCCCTTCAAGAGGCCTTGGTGAGGGTAGAGGCCTTCCTGAGGCCTTGGAAAGGAGTGAGGCCCTCTTTAGGACTTGGCAAAGAGTTAGACCTCCTTTTTTTTATAACGGAGCACGAGTTCTGCAGACAACACAAGCACCATGACAATGTTGGTAATGAAATCGGCTCTCCTGCAATTTCCTGCACGGTGGCATTTAGCATATGTTTTTTTAAACGGTTAATAATTTTGTATACAAATGTGCCATAAATACATTATAGTTGTGTTCGCAGACCCAACGCTGGCAAGCGAAAGTCCAACGCAGATTTCACGCAGGCACCGTTGCAGGCCAAGCGCAGGCATAACGCAATCCCAACGCAAGCCCAGCGCAGACAGAACGCAGTCCCAACGCTGGCANTCTCCATGGAGCATCTCGACTAAAGGAGCGTCTTGCTCCATGGATGATATCGGCACATGGAGCATCCAGTTCCATGGAGCATCTCGCCTTTGGAAGCGTTTTACTCCGTAGAGCAGCTCACTTTTGGGAGCCTCTTACCCCATGGAATATATTGGTCCATGGAGCGTCCAATTTCATGAAACATCTCGCTTATGGAGCGTCTGGCCCCATGGAATATATTGGTCTATATGGAGCGCTTCGATCGATCCATGGTGTTTTCCTCTTGAAGTGTCAAGACTTTCGAAGTAGCTCAATTAAGAGAATTTTATCTTATCCGGAATATCATTGGTTAAGAAATTATCATCATGCATTGAGTATCATGAAAAACGTTGTCGCTCTAGTTCTGTTTGATGACACCGTAGGCGAGGGTTTGGTAAATAGTAGTCAAAATATCTATCATTTGAATTCACTTGACAATTAATATAATTATCTACATGTTAATTTA